CTCGAGCTTGAGCTCATGTTTTAAAGGGATACTTTGGAATTTTGGCAATGAGGCCCTTTATCTACTTCACCAGAATCCGATGAACTTGTGGATACCATTTTTATCTGTGTCCGGTATGAAGAAGTTAGAGGTAGTTTTGCTTGCCAATGCTAACCAGCGTCAATGTGCTAATGTTAGTTAGCAATTGCGCTAGTTAGCAACTTCCTTCAAACTAACATAAAAATTACTTTAAAAATATATGGTATTCACAAGTTCATCTGACTCTGGGGAAGTAGATAAAGGGCCTCATTGCCACAATCCCGAAATATCCCTTTAAGTTGGTTTTGCTGGACTTCTTAATTTGGACTTCTTGAAATGAGCCAAGGTCAGAGGTGTAGGAATTAAAACTTATTGGAATTGTTAGGAATAGAAATGTTCCCATACAAGGAGATAACTACGTCTGACCATCCGTCCAAGCGTGGGAGATTAAGAGGATGGCAAATTTGTAAAAGGAAAGCTATGATTGGGATCTTTTGCCTCTGTCTAAGAAGTAGGCTAAGCCTTGTCCGAGGCTTGAGCCAGGATGGCCCATAGGGCAGGAGCCCATCTCCTGTTTCTATAGCATGAGGCAACTCTGTCTTATGTCTGGCTATACAATTAAAAATGTTCCTATCCAATTTTCTCCCCATTTCCACCCTTAAGACCTAGGCCAATCTTTTGCACCTCTTGGCTAACATTTTATGAGCTAGCTAGCTTAGTTGGAGCAGGCATTTAGCATTGCTTACACTCTCAACCAACATATCTCCCCTGCAGTAACGACAAACTGAGTATGCTTTAATTTATGTGTGCTTAGACTGCCTACTGCTTAGCAAGAAATTGTGCTTGACTGGTGCGAGTTCCAGTTGTGCGAGTTGCGTCACTGCAAGGCACAGATTCTTAAAAAGGGAGTCCCGTCATCATCCTAACATGGCATTTTCTCTAACATAGCGGTCTCAGTGGACAGCTGCTGACGGAAGAGATCTCCGGCTATAGGATGATGACTAGGATCATCTTCCCCTCTCCCAATCCTAACCTTAACCATTAGTAGGGAAAATATAAAACTGACCCGAGAGCAATGTCTATGTGCAACTTCGGCCTACACTGATATCTGCACATGCATCTGAACAGAGTGCTGATAAGTGAGCAAGAGAACATTGGCCTAAGTGAACAACATTGCAGGGCCTAGGTTATAAATAGCCTAGGTTAGCTCCCTTTGACCTATGGTATGATTTTGTCTGGTTTCGTTTGGATTAACAGATTAACGTCCCTACCCCATTGTTTAAATTTAAAATGGGTAAGGTTAGTGTTTAGGGGAGGGATGTCCCAAGAATCCCTCCTAGCACTAACATATTAAGAATGGTTGATTCATCTGGACTGTTGGCAGGGAGGCATGCCAGCACTTCTGAAATGCCATTGAACTCTAGCCTAGATTATTATAATTTTTTTCTGATGTCATACAGGTTATAGGTTTCATCTTGCCCAATATCTTGCTTCATATTTATGCCATTTGATTGACTATTGATTTCTCTGATTTGTCGTGACGACTGCTGTTCACTATTTGTGCAGCAGCCAATAGTTTACTGGCACCACTGTATTCCTCCTGTAATATTTCTCCCCGCCTTGACAACTCTCTGGTGTTGATGCTTTTTGATTGATGCCCTTTGGATAAACGGCTTGATGAGGCATGCTTCCGAAGCTCACAAAACCAGTCCCCACTCTACACTAGGGATGTTACCATTCACCAATAGGCATCGCCCCCCGATTCAAATGTTTAAGCTAAGACTGGATCAGTTTTAAGACTGCATCGGTCTACGGACCCCAAACCGATCCAAATGTAGCATGCATCGGTCAGAAAATTGATTGGAAATGTTACGAATCACTGATTCACTATTTTTCTGTTGCACATATTACTTTTCTACCTTCCGAAAATACCTCATGTTTTGTGACAACTGATGCGTCCTCTCCTTCAGTGTCAAACTAAGCATTTAACCGGAGACACAACTCTCATCTGGGTATAGGCTACCTGCTGAACGGGGCTTACATTTTTTTATTTTTGTTGTTCAGGTTCACAATCAGCAATAGTTTTTGTAGATTTGCTTTAAACAATCAGTGTATATGGTCATTTTTTAGATATACAGGGTAACGTTGACTATTTCATAACGAGGACAATCACTTTGTGAGGCACACTGCATGGCCAAAGCAGAAGGAGATAAGAACCTCACTAAACTTCCAAACGGTCAAAACCATTTGATTTTGAGATGGGGTGAAATCCAAAGTTGTACTATATATTCCGTAACTATGTCATAGCTAATTTACGAACGGTAAATATTGATACATTACTAGCTCAAACACTTCATCTGCAAAAATGACAAGTTCATTAATGCGTGATGGTGATTTCAGAACCAAAGTGGGGCAACAAAAAAAACAAAAAAAAAACAGGCTAAATTGCCCCCCCCTCTGGTAGTGGGGTTGTATATACCGAATCTCCTTTATGGCTCAGATCAGGTGCCTACATGGTACATACGCCATAGTCATACGTAATTTACGCACACACCATAGACCTACATCATTTATACACATGTCAGCTCAGACAGATTCAGCTCATGAGCTCCATCAGCAGCTGAGTTAATTTTATTTTAGAATTGAACATTTATATTTATGGAAATTGTTAGTGCATCGATGATTATTTATGTGTGTATATACCGAATCGCACCAAATCATTTCAAACTAAAACATCTCGCTCCTGTATCTTATTGGAGCCCATGTATCTATATGCATATCAAATCGTCTTGAAGGGAATGATGCACATCCCTAATCTACACCAATCAATATAACACTTGGACTTCTCCAAATTCCCCTTAACCCTTCACACTTGTACCTATATACGGGTTGAAAATGGCAGATGTGGGCACTGATAAGCAGCTGTATGGGTTTTGACTGACTGCCGTTCTGAACTTGAACACCGCACGAGACAGTTGTTCCCGTACCTCCCGCTAATTGGGCAACTTTTGCAAAAAAAAAATTTGTCTGAGGAAAATGCTGTAAATTTAAGAGAACTATGTATTTTGAAAGAGCAGATGTTGAAGATTAGGCTATAAAAAATACCACTGATGTCGTGCAAGCCAAACACCCGTGAGTCCAAATGTGCACTTCACATTTCCATATCGTAAAACTTGTCATGTACAGTGTCAATGTTTATAATCACTATGTTTGATGTACAGTTAGTTACAAGATGACATGGCGTCATACCCAAGGTTGTTCTGAACAGTGAGCCTATGTTTCAGTTTGTCTATTGTGAAGAAAATTCGCCGCGGAACACTCATCTGAATGCTAGGGCTGGGAATTGCCAGGGACCTCAGGATACTTAGGTGCCTATATGATATGTATTGCGATTCTATACTGTGATTTTATTGCAATTCGATGTTCCAAACAGGCTGTTGATCACCATATGTCTGCTGCAGAGGGACAAGAGAACCATGAGAAAATCAGTCATGGAAATAAGTGTTGGAAACAAATTGGTTCCCTATTTAAAAAGAGAGAGAACAAACTATGAAGGAAGAATACTGGAGTTTTGGTGCAGGTACAGCCAACTAGCGCAAAAATAATACTGCAATATTATCAAAACGATATGATGTATCGTCAAAAATAATATCCCTGTAACTGTATAGATTTTTTTCTTTCTTGCCCCAGTCACTACTGAATGCACGTATGACTCTTTCTATGCGCTCTGAAATTACGATCGGTTTCTCTGAATTGCCCTGCGAAAGCCTAACACTAAGAACGTATTTTATAACTTGGCAATAGAACAAGCTTTCAAATTATGCCCACCTGACCCAAATTGTGATTTGTAATGAGCTGTTTTTGGATTGCATAAACAACAGTAATTGCGTGATTGTGGGGATTGAGGAGTTGTGTTCCAAACAAAACCAGTGTGCTTGCTGTAGTTCCTGTACGGCACAGCTAGGAGAGCTCAAAAAAGCATCTTATAGTTGAAGACTCTATTGAGTCATTTGAGTCACTCGCACCCATCCTCTTGGATGGTCCCCTGACGTTTTGGCATGATAACGCGTTGGTATATGAGCAAAGCACTCTAAATAATGCAGCGAGTCTTCCTCATCCCGTACTTAGTCAGAACGTTCATCACCCGCTCCTCCCAGCAGCTTCCAGCTGTTAATTTGGCCAAAGAAGCTTCTAGCCTCAACACTTCTATCCTCAAAACTAGGGTTCCGGGAGGGCTGCAGTGTGTGCAGGCTTTTGTTCCATTCCAGCTCTAACAGTGCGACTCCAGGTGCGTTTTAGCTAGTGCTGGTCCCGAACAAAATCCTGCACACACACTGTGGCCGTGGATGCCCATTCCGGTACTGCGCTAGGTGTAGGCCTATGCCTATAGGGATATTTTCCGGCCACAGGATTCTCAGTTGAACGTGCTTTTTAGTCCAGGTTTAGGTTTGTGTCTATAGATGCTTATTGAGGTGCCCAGTCAAGCACCCTTATTGCCCATATTAAGTCTTATAAGACAGAAGGCTGTTTCGATTCTGCAGCACATAAGGCAGGATTATTTATACGAAGGGTCCGGTCATGGTGGTCAAATCCCCCCCCCCCCCCCTCATGGTCAGTCAAGGCCATGGCTATGATGAACAGTTGCTGGTTGTGTAGATGTCTATCAAGCTATTCGATTAGCAGAGCAATTAGCACAAGACTGGTTGCTTTGCCCTTAACCCCTTCTTAAATGTCTCGCTCATGTTGTGCTGATCTAGTCTGAAACGACGGGGGCTTTATTTGTCTTGCGTTCTTCCCGACTGGCTGTCGATTTACTGCCGTGTCATCAACTGTAATGTGATGAGGGTGGCTACGTGTGCGCGCGCCCCTCATTATGATCCCCCCCAACCCAATGGGCTGACTGTCCTTGGGAGGACAGGGGGAACCGAACCAGAGCCCACAGACTTTATTAATGAAAGAATTTGGCCGGGGAGGCCGATTTGATGTCGCGCTGGCAGGGCTGCACCTGCCTGCTAGGTGTGTGTGCTAGGTGTGTGTGCATTTTGTTCTATCTGTTCTAACCAATGTTTGTTTATTACCCATTCGCGAACTGCAAACTTTGCAACCCAGTTCCGGCCACTTTGTTTCCTGTTGTGCATTTCTGTGAGCGTATGGTACAGACAGTATTCTTTCATCTTTCAGCTTTGTTTACATTTCAATGTTTTACATTTAGCAGAAGCTCTTATACAGCGCGACTTACAGTTAGTAAGTGCATACATTTTTCATACATTTTACATGCCTTTGTTTCACCCAAAGAGCAGCTCAACTATTCAGAGAACATCAGCATACAGTGCCTTCGGAAAGTATTCAGACCCCTTGACTTTTTCCATATTTTGTTATGTTACAGCCTTATTCTAAAATAGTTTTTTTCCCCTCATCAATCTACGCACTACCCCATAATGACAAAGCCAAAACGGGTTATTAGAAATGTTTTACGTTGTTGAAACACCTTTGGCAGCAATTACAGCCTCGTCTTCTTGGGTATGACGCTACAAGCTTGGCACACCTGTATTTGGGGAGTTTCTCCCATTCTTCTCTGCAGATCCTCTCAAGCTCTGTCAGGTTGGATGGGGAGCGTTGCTGCACAGCTTTTTAATTCTCTCCAGAGATGTTTGATCAGGTTCAAGTCTGGGCTCTGGCTGGGCCAGTCAAGGATATTCAGAGACTTATCCCGAAGCCACTCCTGTGTTGTCTTAGCTGTATGCTTATGGTCGTTGTCCTGTTGGAAGGTGAACCTTCGCCCCAGTCTGAGGTCCTGAGTGCTCTGGAGCAGGTTTTAATCAAGGATCTCTCTGTACTTTGCTCCGTTCATCTTTCCCTCGATCCTGACTAGTCTCCCAGTCCCTGCCGCTGAAAAACATCCCCACAGCATGATGCTGCCACCACCATGCTTCACCGTAGGGATGGTGCCAGGTTTCTTCCAGACGTGACGCTTGGTATTCAGGCCAAAGAGTAGAATTGTGGTTTCATCAGACCAGAGAATCTTGTTTCTCATGGTCTGAGAGTCCTTTAGGTGCCTTTTGGCAAACTCCAAGCGGGCTGTCATGTGCCTTTTACTGAGGAGTGGCTTCAGTCTGGCCACTCTACCGTAAAGGCCTGATTGGTGGAGTGCTGCAGAGATGGTTGTCCTTCTGGAAGGTTTTCCCATCTCCACAGAGGAACTCTGGAGCTCTGTCAGAGTGACCATCGGGTTCTTGGTCACCTCCCTGACCAAGGCCCTTCTCCCCCGATTGCTCAGTTTGGCTGGGCGGCCAGCTCTAAGAAGAGTCTTGGTGGTTCCAAACTTCTTCCATTTAAGAATGATGGAGGCCACTGTGTTCTTGGGGATCTTCAATGCTGCAGACATTTTTTGGTACACTTCCCCAGATCTGTGCCTCGACACAATCCTGTCTCAGAGCTCTACGGACAATTCCTTGAACCTCATGGCTTGGTTTTTGCTCTGACATGCACTGTCAACTGTGGGAACTTATATAGACAGGTGTGTGCCTTTCCAAATAATGTCCAATCAATTGAATATACCACAGGTGGACTCCAATCAAGTTGTAGAAACATCTCAAGGACGATCGATGGAAACAGGATGAACCTGAGCTCAGTTTCAAGTCTCATAGCAAAGGGTCTGAATACTTACGTAAGGTATTTCTGTTTTTTTTTATTTTAATAAATTAGCAAACATTTCTAAACCTGTTTTCACTTTGTCATTGTGTGTAGATTGACTGGGACCCATTATTGTTATGACTGCAGTCTGCTGTTTCTGGTGTTTAAAGGGACGGTTCCCACAAATTAAACTATTTTCATCTCGTTCAAGAACCGTACTGGTGTGATCAGAGCAGGTGTCTCTCAGACCATAGACTACCTGTCTAAACCACACCGTAGAGAAACAGGAGGCAGAAAGGCAACCAGACAGACACCAACTCGCTGCTAGCTAACACAACATTTAGAAAACAAAATAACCTTTTTGACATATCGGCATTTTGATCGGGTTCTCTGCAGAGTACCGTTGCTGATGTTTTTTTTAATGATACTATAGTTCCAAGATTTGGCCTAGTTCCAGTAACCCAAGATTTAGGCTAGGTAGGTTTAACATGGCTACAGATTGGTGTTAGCATCGTTGAGTGGAAAACGATGGCGTAATGGGTTAATATGCCCAAAAAATCGAGTTAAAGTAACATAGTTTAATTGATATTGTGGGTGAACTAGTAGGCATATGCAGGTATCTGTGTGCAATAGCCACTTTATCTAACCAGTAACCACTTTAAGGTTTGAAAATGTTTAACAAACTCTGATTTGGGGGTGGACCTTCTCTTTTAAGTTATGAACTAAGTGAGGACTTTCACCTTTAATGATTCTAAACATCTCTCCCAGGTGGGCATGGGGTGGAGGATGTGCCTCATAAGATGAGCCCTGAGGCAGAGGAGGCCCTGTTATCGGCGGAAGACGTGTTGTCGGCCAGGCCGGTCCAGATCGTTGTGGCTCACGAGGACGACCACGCCTTTGAGCTCGATGAGGCGGCGCTGGAGCGCATCCTGCTGCAGGAGCACGTGTGCGACCTCAACGTGGTGGTGGTGTCAGTGGCCGGTGCCTTCCGCAAAGGCAAGTCCTTCCTGCTGGACTTCATGCTGCGCTTCATGTACAACCAGGTGAGGCCACACATAGTTTTACTTGTACAACCTGTTGAGGCTAGACAAGCTTGTATAGTATACATGTACAACCAGGGTCTAAAATGAACTTTTTGGTCCACCAGCCACTGTGGTAGGTAGATTTTAAAATCTACCAGTCACTCAGATTTTTTACCAGCCAACAAGTTTTTGCTCAAATTACACCAACAAAACGCAGTAAAACGGATGAGCATACTTTTGTAATGTTTCTGAAACAATAAATGCATTACTAGTAAGAAGTTATGTGGTATATTGTTTATTTTTCTATAATTTGTGACAGTCTTTTAACCAAACTATCACAGATCAGACAATGTTCACAGGTTACCGTGGTAATGCGACTGGAGTCATGTTTGTGCCTGTGAGATTGTCTGACTAGTAGCTGCGTTGTCTTCTCTTCCCTAGCAGTTGAAACTCAAACGTTGAAAAAAAAAAACCTAGCTTGTGAACAAAAACAATGTAAATAGCCAAGAAATACAAGGACAAAGTCTCACTTCAGTATATTAGACCAACTTTTATGCCAGTGCTTCTATAAATTAGCTTTCACTCAGCTCCTCACGTGCACACAGCTCCCAGCCAGGCACTGTTGCAGCGCGAGGTGGGATAGGCTATAGGATTCATAGCTCTTTGACTTTGTGCGATTAATTTACCAGCTATTAAACAAAATGGCTACTGCAGCATTAATTTTTCTGTAAATATCATACATGACTTTTTATTCACAAATGTGAGTGAAATGCTCGCACTGGAGCCCTGACCAGCCGCCAACGTGACTGGTGAAATTGATATCTTACCCGCCAATGCCAAAATCTACCTGCATTTGGCGCGTCGGGTTTTAATTTTAGGCCCTGTGTGCTAGATGAAAGCATGTAAAGGTAGGTGAAGCTACACACAGGCCTATATGTATAACCAGGGCTTTTATAGTACATGTACATTGTACAACCAGGAGGAGCCATATAGGTGTAGAATTAGTTGTATTTTTGCCAAGGCAGCAGCTACTCTTCCTGACGTCCAGCAACATTAATGACATTTACATTTCACAACACATTAAGTGGCAGCCTATACTGACACACACCTGATCTGACCCACCAAGTATTGAAATGCACAGGTTGCAATGCAAACACAGTGGCTGTCAACCTGCCAGTCTGGGACATACTAGAATATGAGGCAGGATACAACATTAACGCTCGCCCGCTTTTTATTTCCCAGAGAAGGTAAACGCGTGCTTTGGGCTAAGTTGATAGACGACAGTAGAAATTCACTTGGTAGCCAGTAGACTTTTGACCTACTTGCCCCGACCGGAGAAAACCCATTGACGTCAAAACCCTGTGAGTACTGGAGCACGGCTTATGTCACATGTCTGGTGAACTTTATGTGGGTCTGAGTGCTTTATGACTGGTGAGGTTCCGCAGCATTGAAGAGCTATTATCTGCAGCTGCGCTGTGAAATTATCCAGTATCGCTTATTGAAAATAGTGTTTGTGTTGGACTACATGGCGGTGCTTTGGGACATCTAACATGAAGAGTGACCTCTGTAGCTCAGCTGGTAGAGCACGGCGCTTGTAACGCCAAGGTAGTGGGTTCGATCCCCGGGACCACCCATACATAAAACATTTATGCACGCATGACTGTAAGTCGCTTTGGATAAAAGCGTCTGCTAAATGGCATATTATAACAAGTAGGACATTCAGGAGACTCTATGGGCCCTACTAGAAAATGTTACAAGGATGGACTTCAGACAAACTCGTTAGGTAAAATACCACAACCAACCAGAGATGATACTTATCTTGAGTTGGAGAACATTGTCCTCATATTTTTCACTCAGTGAAACTATTAAGAGCTGCGAGGAATTCATTCACTCCATTCATCGGACGCTTAAGGGAGTAAACTTATCAGGATTTCTCTACATGTCCTTCCACAACTTGCTAAACCCTTGTCAGTGAATTAGAGTTCTCTGTTCATAACTTGTTTAGGGGGATGATTGTAATCCATTTGAGCTATGCTTAAAGCTGGCATTTTTGGGCAGCACAATGCTTTGGACTGTGGACCCGCTTTTGCAAGAACACTTCCCTTTTTATTCCAGGCATAAAGGCTGCTTTTGTGTGTGCCCCTCGAGGTTCGAGCAGGGATCATATCCAATATGCCACTCAAGTATGCTAACAATCAGGAGAGCCTGGGTTAGGGGTGTTCAATAGGAGAGTAAGGGCGTGTCCAGAAAAAACCCTAGACACTTCATGCATATCTGGAATACATCTGATGGGTACAAGCCGGTACTGTAGCATATGGTATTTCTTGCCATCTAATAGGCTTGGTAGGGCCTTGACCATATTGCTCGCTTATACCTTTCAGGTTTACATGAATTGTCTAGGGGAAATGGCTCGAGGTTGTTTCTGGGCAGGGCCTGCGAGGACTGCTTCAGCCAACGGAGTCTCGATACTGTAGCTACATGGCTCATATGATCGCTAAGGCCCTGCTTTGATGTGTCCTCTTCCTCCTTTCAGACATCCTGCTCCTGGCTTGGTGGGCACGAGGAGCCACTGACGGGCTTCACCTGGCGGGGGGGCTGCGAGAGGGAGACCACGGGCATCCTGGCCTGGAGCGAGGTGTTTGTGGTGGACAAGCCAGATGGGAGCAAGGTAAATACAAAGTCACTTTTCCTTTGGGTGGGCACACGTTTTCTCCAACCAAGGATTGAATTGTTTTTAAAAGAGATTACACTCCTAAATCAAAGTTTGTCCGATACAGTCAAGATGAGTCCATATCAAACGGCATCAGTTGTGAAGCAAAATGTGGAAATGATATGCCGCTTATCGTCTCCATCCATTTTGGGTTGCGGCATATAGCTGGATTTACGAAACAGATTTACAAACTTTGATTTGGAGTGTAATGTCCCTTTAAACACAATGTAAGATTTCCAGTTGTCCATTGGTTATTGCAACTGATTTAATACCCCTTGATTGGTGAAGAATATGACTTATTAATTGATTTATACTTTCTCTGCAGGTTGCTGTTCTTCTAATCGACACACAGGGGGCTTTCGACAGCCAATCGACCATCAAAGATTGTGCGACGCTGTTTGCGTTGAGCACCATGACCAGCTCTGTACAGGTATGATGCTCTCCCCCCCCACAGTGTTGTGTACCCTTTATATTAAGGTATTCACTTCTCAAATAAGTAGGGGAGATCCACAATGTGCGTATGTTTCATTGCTGGTATTGAACAAAAACAATAGTAGGGAACTGATTTATTATAGGCTGTTTGGACGAGGAATGCCTCTACCTATCCCCCTTTCGTCAGTAAGTATCCGAATTGAAAAATGCTAAATGCAGACAGTTTATGAAGTTATATTGTTATGTGCTAGTTCTAGACAGATTGAATACCAGACCTTCCTCCTCCCCGTACCAACTTTTCAATTCATGCAAAACATTGATTGAAAATGTGATCCATGTAGACTTTAGTACAGGTTATTGATGATTTGTCCCCCCCCCCCGTTAGGTTTACAACTTGTCTCAGAATGTGCAAGAAGACGACCTTCAACATCTCCAGGTGTGTGTGCGTGCACTCGCATGTTTGGATTGTTTTGGAAGGGGGACTTAGAATCTCCAACACTGCTTTGGCCATGAGCTTTGGACATTGAACTCCACGAGCAGATGATGTAACTTGAAATGGCTCTTTACTTTGTTATACACTGCTCAAAAAAATTAAGGGAACACTAAAATAACACATCCTAGATCTGAATGAATGAAATAATCTTATTAAATACTTTTTTCTTTACATAGTTGAATGTGCTGACAACAAAATCACACAAATTATCAATGGAAATCAAATTTATCAACCCATGGAGGTCTGGATTTTGAGTCGCCCTCAAAATTAAAGTGGAAAACCACACTACAGGCTGATCCAACTTTGATGTAATGTCCTTAAAACAAGTCAAAATGAGGCTCAGTAGTGTGTGTGGCCTCCACGTGCCTGTATGACCTCTACAACGCCTGGGCATGCTCCTGATGAGGTGGCGGATGGTCTCCTGAGGGATCTCCTCCCAGATCTGGACTAAAGCATCCGCCAACTCCTGGACAGTCTGTGGTGCAACGTGGCGTTGGTGGATGGAGCGAGACATGATGTCCCAGATGTGCTCAATTGGATTCAGGTCTGGGGAACGGGCGGGCCAGTCCATAACGTCAATGCCTTCCTCTTGCAGGAACTGCTGACACTCTAGCCACATGCGGTCTAGCATTGTCTTGCATTAGGAGGAACCCAGGGCCAACCGCACCAGCATATGGTCTCACAAGGGGTCTGAGGATCTCATCTCGGTACCTAATGGCAGTCACGCTACCTCTGGCGAGCACATGGAGGGCTGTGCGGCCCCCCAAAGAAATGCCACCCCACACCATGACTGACCCACCGCCAAACCGGTCATGCTGGAGGATGTTGCAGGCAGCAGAACGTTCTCCACGGCGTCTCCAGACTCTGTCACGTGTTCAGTGTGAACCTGCTTTCATCTGTGAAGAGCACAGGGCGCCAGTGGCGAATTTGCCAATCTTGGTGTTCTCTGGCAAATGCCAAATGTCCTGCACGGTGTTGGGCTGTAAGCACAACCCCCACCTGTGGACGTCGGGCCCTCATACCACCCTCATGGAGTCTGTTTCTGACCGTTTGAGCAGACACATGCACATTTGTGGCCTGCTGGAGGTCATTTTGCAGGGCTCTGGCAGTGCTCCTCCTGCTCCTCCTTGCACAAAGGCGGAGGTAGCGGTCCTGCTGCTGGGTTGTTGCCCTCCTACGTCTCCTCCACGTCTCCTGATGTACTGGCCTGTCTCCTGGTAGCGCCTCCATGCTCTGGACACTACGCTGACACACAGCAAACCTTCTTGCCACAGCTCGCATTGATGTGCCATCCTGGATGAGCTGCACTACCTGAGCCACTTGTGTGGGTTGTAGACTCCGTCTCATGCTACCACTAGAGTGAAAGCACCGCCAGCATTCAAAAGTGACCAAAACATCAGCCAGGAAGCATAGGAACTGAGAAGTGGTCTGTGGTCACCACCTGCAAAACCAGTCCTTTATTGGGGGTGTCTTGCTAATTGCCTATAATTTCCACCTGTTGTCTTATTCCATTTGCACAACAGCATGTGAAATGTATTGTCAATCAGTGTTGCTTCCTAAGTGGACAGTTTGATTTTACAGAAGTGTGATTGACTTAGAGTTACATTGTGTTGTTTAAGTGTTCCCTTTATTTTTTTGAGCAGTGTTTATCATAGCCCTCTGGGGGAAATGTCGACATGATATTCCTTTTGATTATCAACCATGCAGTTGGAACTATTGTACTTAGTGGGTCACAAGTAGAGAGCACTTGTATGGAAGTGTATAGCTGATTCCTCCCTTTGTTAAAGATAAACAATGGATGTTTTTAATTGCTAAATGAACGTCAAATTTTGGCTTGAAATGTGACTATGGGACCCCTTTTGGGTCAAGCGCACACCCAGAAGCAAAAGTTCTGTATAGTCTCTTTAAAACCTACTCAACAGAAGACTCTTAAGGGACGTGTTATTGACATCACTATCCTATTAGATGGCAACAGTCAGATTGTTTGACTGACTGTTTACCTTTTTGACGAGGATGTGGACTAATACTTTTGTTTTTCCCTACCTAGCTCTTTACCGAATATGGAAGGCTGGCCTTGGAAGAAATCTATGAGAAACCCTTTCAGGTATTGTCACATTTCTCTGCTGCCTTTCCGGAATGAATGGCCTGCAACACATTTCTTATTGGATAATAATAAAGAGATTTTTAAGTAATTGAGATGGCGCTAATAGGCATTTCTAGAGTCTTATTTAATATGGCCACCATTACTTGACCCTTTGTGAAAAGTCAATAGTCCTATAGTATCTTGTTATTTCTTCCTTCATTGTCTTCCACAACAGACTTTAATGTTTCTTATAAGAGACTGGAGCTACCCCTATGAGCATCCCTACGGTTTGGAAGGAGGGAAGAGTTTCCTGGAGAAGAGATTACAAGTATGTCTTTTTTCACTGGCTCCATTATTCGTTCTAAGAAAATCAGAGCTTCAACTTCGGACATTTCAGGAACTAAAGCGCTTACACACATTCCACTATTCAAACAGCCTGGTGTCATATGTCTGCAGTCTTGCCAACTGTTATGGTCATTTGTGTTTGGCATGACAATGACCAGTAGTAGGCTATACAGCTATGCTGCCTTCATCAGGGTTTCAGCACAAACAGATCTGAGACCAGGTTAATTGGAACAATATTTGTCCAACCATTTACTTGAATAAGCAAGGGTCTCTCCACTGTGTGCAGGTGAAACAGAACCAGCACGAGGAGCTGCAGAATGTCAGGAAGCACATCCACTCTTGCTTCTCTAACATTGGCTGCTTCCTCCTGCCCCACCCCGGCCTCAAGGTGGCCACCAACCCCAACTTTGATGGCAGACTCACAGGTATGCTATAGGAGAAGCTTGCTCAATGACCATTGTGGAAAGATGGCATACCTATCTCTATGAGAGCATGGACAGCGCCATTGAGGGCTATCCATTTTAAAGTAGTCCATTTCTTCTACTTCTGAGTGTATTGACAGTTCATGGCGCTGCCCATGCTAAAACAGGCTTTAGTCATAGTTCACCCCCTAGCCAACTCTGTCAATTCCAAATAAACCATTCCCTACCCCAAGGCACTCCTGTAGATCTGAAGCGATTGGATAGGTTTTAAGCACTATGGTCAAATTTCTACCTAGCCAATCAGAAGCCAAGGTGAAGCTATTATCATAATGCTATATCTATCCAATCATCTCAGATATCCAGGTGTGCCTAGGGAATATGGTTCACTGTAGACTTGCATTTTTTGATCTTAGATTGCATTTATGTAGCACTTTTCTTCTATTATAATACAAAGCTAACCTTTTCAAAGTTATAAAACAACACATTTGCCTTTTATATAGTTGCATTTAAGGTCAGCTGATGGTTAATTTTTTTTAATGGAATATTTCAACAATAAATGGATTTCCCACTTGTCTCTCCCTCCAGATATTGATGATGATTTCAAGACCGAGCTAGTCAACCTAGTGCCAATCTTGTTGTCCCCGGAGAACTTGGTGGAGAAAGAAATCGGAGGAGCCAAAGTGACGTGCCGAGACCTTGTACACTATTTCAAAGTAAGTCGATTGTTTCAAATCTTATACCTTTTCCCCTTATGCCTTGCCATCACTAGCCGGCTTCCACCCAGTACCCTGTCCTGCACCTTAGAGGATGCTGCCCTATGTACATAGACATAGAATCACTGGTCACTTTAATAATGGAACACTGGTCACTTTAATGTTTACATACTATTTTACTCATTTAATATGTGTATATACTGTATTCTAGTCAATGCCACTCTGACGTTGCTCGTTCTAATATTTATTTATTTCTTAATTCCATTCTTTTACTTTGAGATTTGTGTGAATTGTTAGATACTACTGCACTGTTGGAGCTAGGAACACAAGCATTTCGCTACACCCGCAATAACATCTGCTAAATATGTGTATGTGACCAATAACATTTGATTTACTATATACCTCTCCTGTTATATACCCATTTTTCCTCTATACTTTTCTTCCTTTATTCCTTTTCTTCTTCTGACAAAAATGTTTGCTTGTGTTTTTTTCTTTTTCGGCACAGGCATACATGAAAATATACCAAGGGGAGGAGCTGCCTCATCCCAAGTCAATGTTACAGGTAGTTAACTCTCCAGATAGTCAATGATACATTCCCCTAAACTGTATTATGTTCAGTAGGCACAAAATGGAATAGAATAGTTTGAGGCGGGTGTAAAACGGGGAGGTACTACCTGAATTTAACCAATTAGAAAGCTTGTTTTTGTCTTCTGTTGCAAAATGTTCTGGTAATACAACCCTGAAGCATGATCATGTTTTCACTTGTTGTTGACAATGTATTGTGTGACATGAACATTTGTTGCATCCCGAAGCCTTTTACAGACCTTATGATACCATTTTATGTTACTTTGTCAATGAGAGATTAGCAAACAATATATGCTTTTACTCATGGGCGTGGGGGCATGTTTCTGTCCAATGAGGTAATCTCTGAGCAATATTTGTCTATTTAGAGGGCCCCTTTTGGCTTAAGAGCACCCCCAGAGGCAACACGTATTCCATATAGCCGCTTTAAAACTTGAGTAGAATTTCATGTGAATGTAGGAGAACGTTGATGCACCAAAGGAACCTAATCTCAGGACGGCTGCGTTTTCCCCTCTGCTTTCTCCCGCTGTCACCTAGGCAACGGCTGAAGCCAACAATCTTGCAGCAGTTGCAGGAGCAAAAGACATTTACAACAAAGGCATGGACCAGGTAATTGAACAATTTACTTTTTAGTTTTAAGCATCCAATTTACTGTATGACTTTGACTAATAAAAGCAGTTGAAGCGTTTTCCTCTGTGCAGATGAGTTGTGGCATGTGTTACTACCTACATTATACTCGAGGTTGATTCAGTCGTAAAGCTTTTTTGTTTTTTTTGTTGTCCATTTAACCGTCGATCTTCATTAGACGGCTCTAAATAAACTCGGTAAATAGGTCAGTTTGTGCTCTCCGCAAAGTTGTGCCCTTCTAGCTCCTACATCTAGATACGCAATGGCTCCTTGTAGATCTGAAAGGATTTGGTTGGAGCATCTCTGTGTAGTCTGGTGTGTTCATATTTACCTTGTTTCTTCTGTATTGATCATCTATACTGAACAAAAATATAAACGCAACATGCAGCAATTTTACTGAGTTACACTTCATATAAGGAAATCGGTCAATTGAAATAAATCCATTAGGCCCTAATGTATGGATTTCACATGATTGGGCAGGGGCGCAGCCATGAGTGGGGCTGGAAGGGCATAGGCCCACCCACTTGGGCGCCAGGCCCAGCCAATCAGAATGAGTTTTTCATTACAGACAGACATACTCCTCAGTTTCATCAGCTGTCCAGGTGGCTGGTCTCAGACGATCCCACAGGTGAAGAAGCCGGATGTGGAGGTCCTGGGCTGGCGTGGTTACACATGGTCTGCGGTTGTGAGGCCGGTTGGACGTACTGCCAAATTCTCTAAAACGACGTTGGCCTATGTTAGAGAAATTGACATTCAATTCTCTGGAAACCGCTCTGGTGGACATTCCTTCAGTCAGCATTCCAATTGCACGCTCCCTCAATCTGTGGCGCTGTGTTTTGTGACAAAACTGCACATTTTAGTGGCCTTTTATTGTCCCCAGCACAAGCTGCACCTGTGTAATGATCATGCTGTTTAATCAGCTTCTTGATATGCCACACCTGTCAGGTGGATGGATTATCCTGGCAAAGGAGAAATAACAGGGATGTAAACAAATTTGTGCAGAATTTGAGAGAAATAAGCTCTGTATGGAATTTTTCTTGGATCTTTTATTTCAGCTCATGAAAAATGGGCCCAACATAGATGTTGCGTTTTTATCTTTTTGTTCAGTATAGTTCTACCAGATCTGAGGGGCAATTTGCGATCGGAAAGGCATGCGTGTGTGTATGATTGATTGCTATCAAATTGTCTTGCATCTGTCGATGCCCAGGCCATATGGTCTTATAAGACACTGAATATTCTATGAGTAAATGAGTTACAATATGTGTATGTCCCTCATAGCGAACTCCCCTTTCTCCCAGGTGTGCGGCGGCGACAAGCCCTACATGGCCCCCGATCAACTGGAGCGCGGCCACGCGAACCTGCGGCAGGTGGCGGTCAAACACTTCCGCTCGGTCAAGAAAATGGGCGGCGAGGACTTCTGCCGGTGCTACCAGGAGCAGCTGGAGGCAGAGCTGGACGAGGCCTTCACCAACTTCATCAAGCACAACGATGGCAAGAACATGTTCTACGCGGCGCGCACGCCCGCCACGCTCTTCGCCGTCATGTTCGCCATGTACGTGGCGTCGCTGGTCACGGGCTTCCTGGGTATCAACACAGTGGCCACAGTGTGTAATATCATTATGGGCGTGGCACTGGCGGCGCTCTGCCTATGGGCCTATGTGAAGTATTCCGGCGAGTTCCGCGAGGTGGGCAGCGTCATCGACCAGGTGGCCGAGACCCTGTGGGAGCAGGTGGGTGACCCGGGGGGAAGAAATGCCTGCTGCACGTCTCTTGATCAATCCGAATATTATGCATGTTCCATTTCTCTCTTGCTCGGGCTCTTTCACACTTCTCTTTCTACGTCTCTCATCTCCCTTTTTAATGTGTACCTCTTTCTCTTGTTTTCTTTCTACTCCCTTTTGCTCTTTTTCTTTCTACCCCCTCACTCTCTTCCCTTTTCTTTCCCCGTCTCACACCATGTCCCTCTCCTGCTTACTCTTTCACAGAGAGCATTCTCTCCCAAACTTTTTATCCTGTTCTTTTCCTAACCTATCTGGATGTGACTGAATGTGATTCACCCAAACATCTCTTTCCTCCCTCTCAAACCAGAATCTCCCCAAATCAAGTTTCTTATTTCCTCATCAGCCCAACCTTTTCTTCCCTTGTTCCCTATCTGCCTTTGTCTCTGGTTGCACCCTGATTCTTTACCCTTTCTCCAGAAGTGTGCACCCGCCATGGATTTAAAATAAATGTATTGGTTGAAACGTTGGCTGGAGGGAGTTTAAACCACTGTTAAATCCATGAGAGGGAGGGTGCAAGTGCACACTTTGGAAGAAGGGTCGAGAATTTGGACGCCTCCCTCACTACTTTCCCCACTAATTAGTCTTCCCTCTTTTTTACTTTGTGCTTCCCACAGAGGACTCCACGAAAGGTGAGAGAGGTGGACAGAGTGAAAAAAGGCTCCATCTTTTGTCATTTTGGAGGCAGAAATAACTTAGTCACTAATGTCATTAATACGGCCACAATACTTCCCTTGCCTTGTTTTCAGATCTTTTCCAAACTCTTTGAGGTGGCGAGGAGTCGAGTCCCGTTGGGTTCCTTGATACCGGCCCAGAGAACGAGACTGGCCTCAAACAACAATGTCAAGAAGAAAAACTAGCACATGCTGTTTTTCCCCCTTCACTCGGTTTCCCATGTCCATTTTTAGGACTATATATAAATGTTTTCTTTTTTGGTAGCTCATGGTCCCCATGCCATGCTGGTTTAGTATTTAAAAACTGAATTGTATACCTGGTTCTCACCACAAATGTAGAATACAGGTTTGCACTTTCATGGTTGATTTGTTGTTTTTTCTCATTCCATGTTGAGGGGATTGTGGGGGCTAAGGGTGGGGTAGGGTGACATCGGGTGCTTAAGTTTTATTGTGTGTGTGCATGATAAGCTGCCACAATTTTTGGTATGGATGAATGTACGAACGAACAAATTAAGCTTGCTTTCCTTTCCTCGCTCCTTTCTCTCCACCTCCAGTTTGTTACTGGTTTTATCCTCTTTTCACCCCCTTTTCCTTTCGTCTGACATTCCCCCTCCTTCTTTTGTCTTTCCTACCATTCTTGTCTCTCTCCCCAGGTGTTGAAGCCTCTGGGCGATCACTATATCGAGGATAACATTAGGAGTGTGGTCGACAGTCTCTGCTTGTCTGAGCGAGCAGGTGTCGCAGCACGCCAAGTTAAAGACAAAATGAGAGACCGACGGTCCGCTGCCCACACGAACACTGCCCACCTGCCTGTAGAACCAAAGTTTACAGCTTTACCCTCTGTAATTGGTCCTAGCTGCTCGTCACTTAATTCGGGCACCAAATGAGAAGGCGGCGTTACGAACGGTTGGCAGTGTGGGGAAGGATGGGCCCGCCTCATTTTCCTTGATCAGACTGCTGATTGGTTGTCTTGTGAGATGTCTTCTCTCCCCCAGCCTATGGAAACGGATTATTGTTATAGTGACAGGACATCATGTTGCAGTTTTATTCAAGCGGGGCCAGTTTTGAGCTCAGTAGTTTTCATTAGTGGTTGTCTGGGACAGGCAGCGTTTAGAGGACTGCTTAAGCCACCATTTACTCCTTGTCTTGTCTGTAAGAACTTTCTCCAGCTTTCTCGTTTTCCTTCCCACTTGTCGGAGTGAATGGACATCAATGTCAAAGAACAACCACTGCTCTGTTTCACTAACACTTTGCCATTTTATGAGACACCGTTACACACAACGATCAAGGTATAGCTAGCTGTAGCCTGCCTATCAGTTCAGCGTCACCCCTCCCTTCACACCTCCCGCTACATCTCTCAACCAGCTGCTCTTAAGGTTAATCATTTTGTATTTTAGGATTGTTATTCTGTTGTGATTATTCCATCCAGACCATTACCGCCAATGTGTGCTGTTTTGTACAGTTTAGTTTTTTAAACTCATCCAAAATGGGGCATGTGTATGAAATATACATATATAAATACATTTTCTATACCTTTTTTGTAGCTGGAAGAACAATGGTTTCGTGGTAGGCCACTGTGTGCAGTTTACTGTATGTAAATGAATGCTTTCGTGATTTGTGTACATGTCCAATAAATTCTTTTTTATATACATTTGTAAAGTAATCTACATTGAGCACTGCAATTCCACCCCTGCTGGCAAAGAATGTTTGTAAACTTAATTTTTGTCTTCTGTTGCAGTTTAAAGTTATTTTCGTTAATTTATTTTTAAATACAAGATTAAAACAATACTACAGTATATGAAGTAATGCTTGATTGGTTTGTTTGTACAGACTGAGGCCCCCGTACACATTCAGCGGTGTTGGGGTAGTGAACTACATGTTGTTCAACTAGTAATTTTACTACATTTTGCAGTAGCTTGGCGGTAGCTGAACTTTTTGCTGTGTAGCGAACTACTGTAACAACAACTTTTTTTTGCAAAAAGGAAATAAAATATGGGTGACGTAGGCAATTTCCTTTTCCGGCATCAGACCTGCCTAATTGTCATTTACATTTGAAACTGTTTTGTTTTTAATAGGCTAAATTGCACATTCTGTTAAGATCTGACTCTAGAATGATCAGTTCTTGCAATTTGTAGTCTGACCTTTTCAGATTTAGAATAATTTAATACATTCTAGTGATTTAGCAGAAGCTCTTTAGTGAGTGCATACATTTTTCATCAAGCAGTAGTTTGGATGTAGTGAACTACTTTTTCAAAAATTTTCTTAACGGTAGCGTTAGTGTAGCTTAACTTCTCCCAGTGTGAAGTAGCTTGGTAAACTATATATTCAGAGAGTGGATGCATTTGACAATGGTTGTGATACAACTGATATTTTTTATTCCAATGGAGAGTTTGTCTACACAATGTTTACATAGCCATTGGTGTCACAACACTTGTGTAATGTTTGTGCAGAAAAACGCCATTGTATCACAACTGTTGTACGCACAGGAGGCTGGTGGGTGGGGCTATAGGAGGATGGGCTCATTGTAATGGCTAGAATTGAATAAATGGTCTCCATATGTTTTGTGTTTTATGCCGTTCCATTAATTCCATTCCAGCCATTACAATGTGCCCATCCTATAGCTCCTCCCACCAGCCTCCACTGGTTGTACGTGAGTTGTACATCTTGGCTGTATGGGGCAAGAATGTTGACCCAGGGATGGGTAAAATTAGGGAAATTAAATTGTCTTTAATTGTGGCATCCTGATGTAACGTATAGTGAGGAAGTTGATAATCGGCTCTAGCGCCACAATGAGAGGGTGCAGGCCAGTCTGCGACTAGTGTAGTCAGCTCAGCTATCCCCATTGAGACCGTGTCTGTGCCTCGATCTAGGTTGGGCAAAAGGATTATCAAAAGCCGCGCTATAAATTCCTAGATACCCTTACAGACTCCCTCCACCTACCCAAGGATGTCGGAGTACAAAAATCGGTTAACCACCTAACTGAGGATCTAAATGTAACCTTGCGTAATACCCTAGATGCAGTCGCACCCCTAAAAACAAAAAACATGTCAAAGAATTTGCTCCCTGGTACGCAGAAAATTGGAACGGAAATGGCGCTCTTCCGACTAGCTTGGCAAGACAGTACCGTGCAATATCGAAGATCCCTCACTGCTGCTCGATCAGCCTATTTTTCAAACCTAATTGAGAACAACGGAACAATCCTACATTTACTTTTGATACTGTCGCAAAGCTAACTAAAAAGTAGCATTCCCCAAGAGATAATGGCTTTCACTTCAGCAGTGATGAACTTGAACTTCTTCGACGAAAAGATCATGATCATTAGAAAGCGAATTACGGACTCCTCTTTGAATCTGCGTATTTCTCCAAAGCCCAGTTGTCCTGAGTCTGCACAGAACTGCCAGGACCTAGGATCGGCCTATATTGAATCTCCCATTCCTCTCAAAACATTTTTGAAAAAGCTGTTGCGCAGCAACTCACTGCCTTCCTGAAGACAAATAATGTATACGAAACGCTTCAGTCTGGTTTTAGACCCCATCAGAGTACTGAGACTGCACTCGTGAAGGTGGTAAATTACCTTTTAATGGCGTCAGACCAAGGCTTTGCATCTGTCCTCGTGCTCCAAGACCTTAGTGCTGCTTTTGACACCATCGATCACCACATACGGACAAGTTCTTGCCTGGTTTAGATCTGATCTGTCGGAGAGATATCAGTTAGTCTCTGTGGAGGGTTTGTCCTCTGACAAATCAATTGTACGTTTCGGTGTTCCTCAGGGTTATGTTTTAGGACCACTATTGTTTTCACTATATATTCTACCTCTTGGTGATGTCATTTGGAAACACAATGTCAACTTTCACTGCTATGCGGACGACACACAGCTGTACATTTTGATGAAACATGGTGAAGGCCCAAAATTGCCTACCCTGGTAGCCTGTGTTTAAGACATAAGGAAGTGGATGGCGGCAAATGTTTTACTTTTAAACTCGAACAAAACAGAGATGATAGTTCTAGGTCCCACAAAAAAAAGAGATCTGCTGTTGGATCTGACAATTAATCTTGATGGTTGTACAGTTGTCTCAAATAAAACTGTGAAGGACCTCAGCGTTACTATGGACCCTGATCTCTCTTTTGACTAACATTTCAAACTTTTTGTCAGAAAATTATGCAGAAAAGCTAATCCATGCTTTTGTCACTTCTAGATTAGACAACTGCAATGCTCTACTCTCCAGCTACCCGGATAGAGCACTAAATAAACTTCAGTTAGTGCTAAACACGGCTGCTAGAATATTGACTAGAACCAGAAAATGTGATAAACAGTGCTAGCCTCTCTACACTGGTTTCCTGTTAAGGGCTGATTTCAAGGTTTTACTGCTAATCTACAAAGCATTACATGGACTTGCTCCTACCTATCTCACCGATTTGGTCCTGCCGTTATTACCTAAACGTACGCTACGGTAACAAGATGCAGGCCTCCTTATTGTCCCTAGAATTTCTAAGCAAACAGCTGGAGGCAGGGCTTGCTCCTAGAGAGCTCAATTTTTATGAAATGGTCTGCCTATCCATGTGAGAGACGCAGACTCGGTCTCAACCTTTAAGTCTTTACTGAAGACTCATCTCTTCAGTAGGTCCTATAATTGAGTTTAGTCTGCCCCAGGGGTGCAAAGGTGAACGGCAAGGCACTGGAGTGACAAACCGCCTTTGCTGTCTCTGCCTGGCCGGCTCCCCTCTCTCCACTGGGATTCTCTGCCTCTGACCCTATTACGGGGGCTGAGTCACTGGCTTACTAGTGCTCTTCCATGCCGTCCCTAGGACGGGTGCATCACTTGAGTGGGTTGAGTCACTGACGTGATCTTCCTGTCCAGTTTTGAATCCCCTCGGGCTTGTGCGGTGGAGGTGATCTTCATGGGCTATACTCAGCCTTTTATCAAGGTAGTAAGTTGGTGGTCTGTTGATATCCCTCTAGTGTTGTGGGGGCTGTGCTTTGGCAAAGTGGGTGGGGTTATATCCTGCCTGGTTGGCCCTGTCCGGGGGTATCGTCGGATGGGGCCACCCAGTGTCCCCCGACCCACCCTGTCTCAGCCTCCAGGATCTATGTTGTAATAGTCTATGTTCCAGGGGGCTAGAGTCAGTCTGTTATATCTGGTGTAATTCTCCTGTGTTATCTGGTGTCCTGTGTGAATTTAGGTATGCTCCCTCTAATTCTCTCTCAATTCAATTTCAATTCATTTCAATTTAAGGGCTTTATTGGCATGGGAAACGTATGTTAACATTGCCAAAGCAAGTGAAGTAGATAGTAAACAAAAGTGAAATAAACAATAAATATTAACAGTAAACATTACACTCAGAAGTTTCAAAAGAATAAAGACATTTCAAATGTCATATTATGTATATATACAGTGTTGTAACAATGTGCAAATAGTTAAAGTACAAATGGGAAAATAAATAAACATAAATATGGGTTGTATTTACAATGGTGTTTGTTCTTCACTGGTTGCCCTTTTCTTGTGGCAACAGGTCACAAATCTTGCAGCTGTGATGGCACACTGTGGTTTTTCACCCAGTAGATAAGGGAGTTTATCAAAATTGGGTTTGTTTTCGAATTCTTTGTGGATCGCTGTAATCTGAGGGAAATATGTTTCTCTAATATGGTCATACATTTGGCAGGAGGTTAGGAAGTGCAGATCAGTTTCCACCTCATTTTGTGGGCAGTGTGCACATAGCCTGTCTTCTCTTGAGAGCCAGGTCTGCCTACGGCGGCCTTTCTCAATAGCAAGGCTATGCTCACCGAGTCTGTACATAGTCAAAGCTTTCCTTAAGTTTGGGTTAGTCACAGTGGTCAGGTATTCTGCCACTGTGTACTCTCTGTTTAGGGCCAAATAGCATTCTAGTTTGCTCTGTTTTTTTGTTTATTCTTTCCAATGTGTCAAGTAATTCTCAATTTTGTTTTCTCATGATTTGGTTGGGTCTAATTGTGTTGTTGTTGTTGTTGTTGTTGTTGTCCTGGGGCTCTGTGGGGTGTGTTTGTGAACAGAGCCCCAAGACCAGCTTACTTAGGGGACTCTTCTCCAAGTTAATCTCTCTGTAGGTGATGGCTTTGTTATGGAAGGTTTGGGAATCGCTTCCTTTTAAGTGGTTATAGAATTTAACGGCTCTTTTCTGGATTTTGATAATTAGCGGGTATTGGCCTAATTCTGCTCTGC